CGGGGTGCTGCCATCGGCGGCAGGGCTGGCTGGGACACCAGCACGGACACCTACAAAACGGCGTTTTTTCAGCCCGTTTCTGCCTTCTCCCTCCTGCTGAGTGCCTCTGTGTCTCCAGAGGGAAGACGCCGGCCGAGTCGGACGTGCAGCTGCTGGACGTGGCCAGGAAGCTGGAGATGTACGGGATCCGCCCGCACCCCGCCAGCGACGGCGAGGGGACACAGATCAACCTGGCCGTGACACACATGGGGGTGCTGGTGCTGCGGGTGAGCCCGGGGCTCGGGGGGGCTGCCAGCCCCCAGGCGGGGTGGCCTCTCGGGCTGGGGGTGTTCCACACCCCGCGGGGCAAGGTGATGCTCCGGACTCTGCCCCCCGTGCCCCGAGCTGAGCTGGCCCCTGTCCCAGAGCGCGGTGGCCGAGTGAGCAGCACAGGTTCCACGGCTCTGTCACACGTGCTTACCGTGTAATCTTCCAGCCAAAATAGCCCCCCACGTCTGTGCAATTACATAACGCTGTAATCAGGGCCGAGCTGCACAGTAAATACAGATTTCCTCTCAGCCAGCATGAGGCAGCGCTCCGCTCCCACACCAGCTGATTTCAACCTGGGAACATCTTGTCACAGCAAAAAAAACACAACAGACCCAAATGTAAAAGCTATCTGTAGGTCTGCTGCTGGTAATTAGTGCTGCCAGACCTGGTTATTTATTCAGAGCCATAAACACCCCTCACGCATGACTGAAGCATCTGTGAGCCCATTACAATCTGGGCTCTCCCAGAAAGCTGAGGGGGTCCCGGTGCCACAAAGTGGGCTAAACCAATTTTTCCTGGTTCTGCCATGGTGCCAGTGTTTTGTGGCTGAATCTCACGTCATGCAAAATGGTGAAGGGGTAGATTGTGCCTGCAGCCTGTGTAAACCAGGTCTAAAGGTGCAGGGGTGAGCTGAGCGCTGCTACACTTCCCAGCAAAGGAGGGGAGAATTATTGCTTCTTTGGGGGCTGCTTCTGCCTTAACTCACAGATAGGCACAGATAGGACTCCCTGCCTTGATCTCTCTGAGGTTTGTCTGGGGATCCTGGATTTTTGTGAAGAGCTTCAGCAGGCAGAGTTAAGCCCTGAACCTCAGTTTCTACTTTTTGAACCAGCTGATGGAGAGCCAAACACCAAACCCCTGCACCCTTTCCCCAGACCCCAGCAGCTCCAAGAGCTGCATTGGAGTCTCACGCAGTGTCCTGTGAGCTCAGGCCTTGGCCCACTGCATTTCTGTATTTACAGGTTGCCCCATCAAGCTGTAATTGCTGTGTTTGTCCTTGCAGGGCAATACAAAGATCAATACCTTCAACTGGTCCAAAATTCGCAAACTGAGTTTCAAGAGGAAGCATTTTCTCATCAAGCTCCACGCAAACATCTCTGTAAGTACCATGCTGCAGGCTGGGCTCAGAGCAGACAGCTGTGGATGGAAGGTCAGGCTCACAGAGTCCCCAGTCTTCAGTAAAATCCATTTCCTTCTGCTTATGATGATGCTCCTGCTCGAGTGTGACATGTGCTACTCCTGTGTCCCCAGTGAGGTGACAGGGCACTGCCTGGAGCTCCTGACAGCCCATATGACCCTTGGGGGATCAGGAGGGCAAATGGCAGAGCTTGTCCCATGCTCCTGACCCTGCCTGTCTTGTCTCTGGCACACAGGAGCTGTGCAAGGACACGCTGGAGTTCACTATGGTGAGCAGGGACACCTGCAAGGCCTTCTGGAAGACATGTGTGGAGTACCACGCCTTCTTCAGGCTCTCTGAAGAGCCCAAGTCAAAGCCCAAAACCCTTCTGTGCAGCAAAGGTTCCAGCTTCCGCTACAGGTAAATTCCCAGGGGAAATCTGAATTTCTGGGGCTGGGAAGGGCCTGGGGACGGCTCTGAGCCTCCCTTTTATGTCAGCCCTGTCTGAATCTGAGCGGGTGATAACAGCTACTTCTCTTGGAGATACCCCTGCCTTGGTCCTGCTGCCCCCCCTCACGTGGGGCACAAGGTCTGCCCAGGGCTGGGGCTGATGGTGCTGCTGACATTTCTCCCTCCACGCTGCAGTGGCAGGACTCAGCGGCAGCTGCTGGAGCACGGGAGGAAGGCAAAGATGAAGAGCCTGCCCTTCGAGAGGTACTGGGGGCATGGAGGGGGGGCAGTGCCTGAGGGGACTGGGGAGAGGGGAAGGACCCTCCTGGCCATGCCCCTACCCATGCTCTTGTCCTGCAGGAAACACTACACATCCCGCTATGATGAGAGGCAGTGCCGCTCCTCCCCGGACCTCCTGACAGATGTATCAAAGCAGGTAAGTTTCACCCCATGGCACCGGCGATGGTTCTGCGCCAAGGTCTTGGCATTTCTGCCCCAGCTGGAGGAGCTCAGCTGGAGGCCAGGCCAGACCCTCAGCTCTGGGTGCTCCTTTTCCACTCTGCTCTGGGCACCCATCCCCTCTGTCCCTGCCCAGGTGGAAGAGCTGCGCCTGGCCTATGGCAACCGTGGCTCCTACCACGCCAACGGAGTGCATGGCTCCGAGCCCACCCTGGACAGCCGGCGCCACAGCTCCACCCTGGAGGTGACCTTTGCCGCTGAGCTGGAGCACTCCAAGCCCGAAGCATCCCCCACCTTCCTGCCCCACTCCAAAAGCTCGTCTGCCTTCCCCCTGCTCTACGCCGAGCTGGAGATGGAGCGGGCGTGGGAGCCCATCGACCTCTTCGGAGCAAGGAATCCCTTGACATCCTTTCGGCCCCACCACCAGTTCGCTGGGAACAATAAAAGCACCTCTGTGGGCAACATGCGGGAAGTGAGCGCCCGGCCGCTGGTGTACACGGATGTGCCCTGTCCCCTGCCCGTGGTGGCTCCGGCCCCCCCTGTGCTCTTCTACCTGGACAGGGCGCTGCAGTCCCCTGGCCCTGCGCTGGCCCCTGGCGAGGACACAGCAGCACTGGCTGATGCAAGTGGCCCCGTGGCAGCAAAACCGCCCCAACAGAGCCCGAGCGGGACCCAGGCTGGGCAGTTCCATCGTGAGGCTGCAGGCACGGCCATGAGCACAAGCACGGTGGAGGAGAGCAGGTCGCTGGCTCGCTCCTTCGATTACGGCCTTCAGGAGCAGCCTCCGAGGCGGTCCTGGAGCCAGTCGGACATGAAAACCATCCGCTTCCCCTACGGCTCTGAGTTCAGGCCCCTGGGGCCGTGCCCCACGCTGAGCAGCCGCAAAGGGGGTGTTTTTTGGCACGTCCCAGCCCAGCAAGGGCTGGCTCCGGGGCCACGGCACTCCACCGAGCGCTACCTGGGCAGCAGCACCGAGTCCAGCGACTCTGACTCGGATCTGCTGGCCGCCGACTACTGCTCCCTGTACGGCCGCGTGCTGCGCTCGCCCATGGCCCGCGTGCGGCTCTCCTCGGGCAGCCTCCAGCTGGATGAGGAGGATGAGGAGGTGTCCTTCGCCACCGGTGCTGCTGAAGAGAAGATTTCCAGAGGGGCCTCCAAGTATTTCACCTAGGTGCCTGACACCAGCCAGAGGCGGCAGAGGTGGCCAGTGCTGACCCAGGGTCAAAGAACGGTGACACTCTTTGTTTGCAGGTCTGCTTACAGCTTATGAAACATTGATGGGATTGTGTTGTGTGAGTGCTCTTAGCTATAGAGGATGTGTTAATGGACATCAGGGGCTGTGTTCAGAAGTATTCAACCCTTGCACCACACTTGGAAGCTGGTTTGCCTTTGCCACCACACTTTGATGGGGGGAGGTCTTCCCTCAGCCAGAGGCCAGGGATTTCCTGAAGTCCTGCTAAGCCCCTATGTCCTGCCCAGGCTGATGCCTGGAGCTCAGCTGCTGGAGTCTTCATTGAGGGGGAAGGAGAAAAAGAGACTTCTCACAGAATAGTTTCAGCTGCCCCTTTTCCCAGCTGCAGGGAAACACACCGGAGGGAAGGGTGGTTCAGGCCCTTTTGGAAAGGACAAGATCTCCATGGGAGGCTGCTCCTGGAGCAGATACCCTGTGGACAGGACAAAACCCCAGCACAGATCTCATCTCCTCCACCTGCCTCACCTCCCTCTAGTGCTGCAGGGAGCACCTGGCACTCAAAGACAAGGCTCTGTGTGTGCCTGTCTCCTCCCTGGCCAGTTTAGAGGATTATCCGTCTCCAGAAGTATCTCAGTAGTGTTTGTCAAGCTTTTAGAAGCACCCCATGGCGAGCACTGGGAAGTGGGCTCATACTCTTTAACTGCTTTGCTTAGGCTCATCTGGCAGCACCGTGACAGCCCCTACCTCAGTGCTCTGCTTCAATCTGAGGGTGAGAGATGTGTAAGGGGGTTCTTTGGGGTCCTTTGCTTCCCCAAACCTGTCCTCAATGAAGCAGCATGGAAAAAAGGTAGCAGGAGCAGGTAGGAAAGGAACAGGCAGCTTCTTGGAAGTATTTTTATTTTAAAAAACTTACTATTACCCTAAACCTCCATGAAATCTACTTGGAAATCTTGAGAATGACACCTCCATAAGATTTTAGGGGGGCATCTTGATAATTTTCTTTAAGAACAACCCTGTAAGTCTTTGTAGGACATGACTGTAATCAGAGGGTCAGCTCAGAAAATCCACGGTGGAGAAACCACTGCAGCCTGCTAGAAGGATTTCAGAAACAAGGAAGCTGGGACACAAAAACCCAGATTAAAATATAGAAAGAACTGAGTTCATGGGCCCTGCTCACTCTACATGTTGCTGTCCTGTTTTAGAAGGTGGACAATAAAAAGCAGTTGTTCACACTGGAATTTTGAGTTCCTCCTTCTGCCCTGTAAAATCTGCACCCCCCAATCCTGCAGGCACCACTTCCACCCCCAGCACATCTTGCCCTGCACCTCCCAGCTCAGGAGCTTCCCTCCTCAGTGCTCCAAGGAGCTGGTTTCCCTCTCCTGCTCGGCTGCCTGGCTCCCTCTGTGCTTTTGCTGTCCCAGCAACTGGGGAAATTTGTGGAGATCCTGGAACGCTGCTGAAAACAGCCACATTCTTGGTTGGTTGCCCAAAGAAATGCATTAGCCCAACAAGTGAGTACATTGTAAGGTCTGCTTCTGCTCCTAGTTACCCTGTGCTGAAACTGTGAACTGCAGAGACCCCTCATGCTGCTCTGGCACATGTTCTACTGAAAAGAGGGATAATCCTTCTGGCTAGAGGGTTGTTTCTTCCCCATTCCCAAAGCTTTGCACCTTGGAAAGAGTAAGAATCACTGCTCAGTACAACACTTAAGAGTGGCTGTCTGTGGGTACAGTTTGATAGAGGGTTAAAAAAAGCAGCAGTGTTTGAAACAGAGCCCTGGGATACATCCACAATCCCTGTCAGCTCCTCACAGCAGGGGTATGGACACACACCTTGAGCATGTCCCAGAGCTGCCACAGTCCCAGCACAACACAAACACCCTGCCCAAATCTTCAGGAGCTGCCAGGTCTGGTCTTTGGGACTATGCTGGGAAAGCAGCAGTGGGAGGGAGAAAAAAGGACTTGGGAACTATTTTTGGATTTTTCCATGGACTAGGGAGCATTAGGGCACAGCATGGGCACTGTGCCTCAGCACAGCCTACACATGGTCAACAATAGCAGAGGAACAAAGAAACTCATCAGTAAGTGACACAAATTGTCATCTCACAGCTAAATTCATTGCGTAAACCACTTTCTTGGGACTGACTAAAATTAAGGAACAATCCCAGTAAGAAGTGGCTTGTCAAGGAACAATTGAAACAACCCTTGACTAAGTCCTTCCCCTCACTCCCTGCTCAGCCCTATTCACCCCTGAGATAAGACATCTATTTATGCAATTTTATTTCCCTAGGGAAGAAAACAAGGATGGAGAGAGGATGTGGAAAGATTTGGTTTGCTGGTGGTGAAAGACAGCAGAACCTGGAAAATGTAAAGTGTTAAAGTCCTTACACAAAGGATTATTGAAGGGGAGAAGGCACTGCAGCATCACAATGGGAAAATACTAAGCTACTTAGTGCATTCAGATAGAAGTAACAGGTTTATATAAAAGAGATAATGGTTGAGACAAAATCAATAAAGCTGTGAAATAAGCCAACATACCACTAAAACTTTGCAAAGAGGAAAATAATTTTATTCCAGTGTTAAGTCATAAAACATTGTGATAAAAATCAGACTTTTAACAATCACTAAACTTTGTGCAAACACATTAAAACCTACACACTCTCCTATTCAGCTGTCAAACCTACACACTCTCCTATTCAGCTGTCAAAATTGCAAGGCAAGAGCAGGTGTGATGACACTACACTGCACAGAAATTAATCGAGGTCAGAGATCAAGGGCTTAAAGAATGGTTACATTGATAAAGGACTCATTCTGCAATTCAGACTACTTTGATAAGATTCAGCAACAATTCTTCTCAACCTAGAGCAGGAAGCCTGGCAAACCAAAAGAGCAGGAAGATAGTTCCTGCATGAATATTTTGATCTATCTTTCCATTAGCTATCTGCCAGCAACAGAATACTGCTGATTAAGTTACACAGTTCATCAATAACTAACACGTGGGAAAAGGACAGCTCATTTCTGGAACCAGCAATACAGATGTCCCTTCTTAGGAGCTAATTATAGTCTTATAATGCACAGAGACTTCAAGCATATGCAGCACAATAAAAAAACCTTCTTGAATGGACTGTAATACAAGAGAACGAGTCTGTTTTGTACACGTGGGTGAGTTTTTGCCATGCTGGCCCACGAGGTAGGTATACATCCCACCCACTCCACAGGAAAAGAAGAGGCACCATATTACAGCTGTAACTCAAACATGTCAAGTTCCAATTCCCCATGTCATTTGCTAACCCCACCTACCCAGAACTGTTCACAGAGTTGCATAGATTAAGATCCTGTGTTAATGGGCCAGAACCACCAGTTACAACACCCAGGTGGAACTCCCATCAGCTCTTCCCTCAGACTTCCATAGAAAAAGAACACCTTAAGGGAAGTGACATGGAAGTAAGACCATGCTTTTAATTCTGAAAAATGCATATGGAGCTCCTTAAAATGAGATTTGTGTTGAGGCTACCGAGCTGAAAGGTGAGAGGGCTGTGGCCCAGGCCTTTGTGTCCCTTCAGTGCCCCATGCTGAGGCCAAAGGCAGTCAGAGCTGTGACAGAGCTGTGACAGAGCTGTGACAGAGCTGTGACAGAGCTGTGACAGAGCTGTGACAGAGCTGTGACAGAGCTGCACTGCTGGACATGCCTGAGCTCACACATCCCAGAGGCTCCTCTCTAGGAAAGGAATCAACCTGAACCCCGGGACTGCTCCATCCATTCCCTGGGGCGTAGCAGCTGGAAGGGGTCCTCGGGACAAGGACAGACTGGGGCACCCAGAACTTTGCAAAGCACCGGTGCAGGGAACACCTTTCTCACAACACGAGTCTGTGACAGACATGTCCACATCTCTGCAGAGCTGCTGAAATCCAGAGTAAAATGATGCACAACAGAACAAGTTCGTGAAAGTTTACAGAACTTAAATATTTATTTTTAAACCATTTTAAACCCCCCAAAACATTGAAATAAGCTTCATCTATAAACAGATTTACAAGACTAACAACTACAGAAGCTAGAGGAGCACTACAATTTGTTTCTGTGATGCAGTTATTTTGTAAAGCTTCAGATCAACTGTATTTACAACTTTTGCTGCTTTTACATTTATAAAAATATTTATTTAATCCATAACATTATTGTTTTCAAAAACTATTTCCAGACTTTTTTCTCAGATATAAATTCTAATTGAATTTCAGTTATATAGCAGATGAAAGTTTTAAACAGAAACATTTTTTTTAAAATTAAAACAAGGAGTTAAAAGTAATTTTTTTTTACAGTGTAGGCACCATTGAAAATAATTGTCCTTGGCATATCTAACCACCATCTCTCACAAGTGTCCTTTATATAAAAACGATGTAATGGCAACATTTGACGAAAAATGCAGTATTCACTTGCACACCATTACTTTTTCAATATTTGGCAGATATATTTCAGATTCTTTAAAATGACTTTTGTGCAAAAACAAAATGTGCAGGTCTGAACCATAAAATAAACACACCCAGCCTTTATCAAAAATAAATTTACACCAACAGTTCCACAGCTAAGTACTGAAAAACAATCCCAGTTCAAAACTTCAGCATAATATACATACTGGGTTGAAAAAGGGAAAAAACCAAATCAGAACAAAACAACAGAAGAGATTACCCATCTAGCAGTACCATAAATATATAACTGAAAGCAACTTTATAGTCTTACCTACTTTTTATGAAAAAAATCACTCCGTACTGCACAGTACTACCTTTTTGTGAAAGAATATCTATAACTCAGTTATTTGCATATTAACTGGTAAATACATATTTAAAATACACTTTCAGAAAATTATAAACAAATTATGTTGATGTACTGTACTTAATGTATTTCAGAACAAAAATGTGTATAAATATCTTACAGGAGAAACAACACCACCACACAGAACGCTGGTGTTACACCGATACCTGCGTGTGAGGTATGTAACATGCGACGCTCGGCTTCTCTGGCTCCCTTCCACCCAGGCATGTATACTCAGAGGAAAAAAAATTAAATTAAGTTAAATTGGACTTCAGGTTTTGTCCATTATTGCCGAAAGCCCCACCCCCTCAACTGTATTGCTCTAAATTTTCCTACCATGATGATATAAGATTGAGTTACTACTTCAAAACCTGTTCTAAAAGGTAATACACAGACTGTACATCAGGATAAACCTGTTGCTACATATCACCTGCAAACTATTGCCATATTGCTCTCAAATATATTTAATCATAGAGCTGCCTAAAATACTGTACCAATTTAGAATTAAAATAGATACTGTTGCAGGTTTGTTTTTCAGGGCACGATAACTATATGCTGGTTGAAGCAGGTGCTACAGCAATACCCTTGCCACTACATTACATGTCTTGAATATGCTTGTGAAAAAGCTATTTTTCTCTGAAGCTTCTTAGTGATTTACAAAAGTTTAACTCATGAATATAAAAGACCTGTACAACTCCATGTACAGGAACAAAATAGCATCAAAACATACTGTACTTGCACATTCTATTAACTAAAGTAATGGTTATTTCTAAAAGCAAAACTGCACCTCAACATTTATCAGATTAAACAGGTGAAACTACAATATTAAAAGTTGTTCTTTACAAAATAATTTCCTGAAAATATAAAACCATGTGCACTGCCACAAAATAGTTGAGTAGGTTCTTTCAAATCCTCAATCACCATCAATATGTTGCAAAGATCCAAAAGGCACAAGGAGCTCATGAGCTAAGCACTGCCAAGCTTGAAGTAGTTTTGGTGGGTTTCACTGGGTCCATACGAAAGAGCAGTCAATTGTGTGAAGTTTCTTAGGATGAGTCATTAACAGAAAATCTACAGATAAAAAATGCAAGTTAAAAAATTTGTTAATTATATTGTTTCAGACAGGCAAACAGCACATAAGTATTTCTGCATCACTAAACTAGAACGTGCCTTCAACTCAATGGTTTGTAGTAAAAAAACCCACCAGGTGACATTCTCAAGAAAACATTCCTTCCTAAAAGAGGTAAGAAAAAGAAAGGTTTAAAGCACTGGACATAGCAGATCTTTCTCTTATCACTAAACTACTTACTTCTGAAATTTCTCCATAAGTTTCTTCACCATCTTATCTGTGATCCCTGGACACGTTGCTTCTGCCACATTGATGCTTTTCTCAAGTTCTTCAATTGCTTTCTTTCTGTTAGCATTATTTGTGTCT